ATGCTGCTGTCCATTTTTCCCAACACCATTTGCTGAAGAGACAGTCTTTATTCCATTGTATATTCTTGCCTCCTTTGTTGAAGATTAGTTGACCAAAAGTTTGTGGGTTCATTTCTGGGCTCTCTAGTCTGTTCCATTGGTCTATAATAGATTTTTGTTTTGTTTGGTAGACTATTTCTTAGAGCAGTTTTAGGCTTATGGAAAAATTAAAGTACAGAGAGTTCCCAAATACTCCCTCCTCCCACATCTGCAGTTTCCCTATCAACATCTTGCATTGATACACATTTGTTATAATTGATGAACCAATATTGACACATTCTTAACTAAAGTCCACAGTTTACATCAGGGGTCACTGTGTTATGCATTCTGTGGGGTCTGACAAATGCATAATGTCCTGTATCTGCTGTTACAGTATCACACAGATTAGTTTCACTGCCCTAAAAACGCTCTGTGCTTCACCTGTTCATCCCTTCCTCTCACCTTCCAACCCCCTGGCACCCACTGATCTTTTCCCTGTCTCTGTAGTTGTGTCTTTTCCAGACTGTCATATAATTGGCATCATATGGCATATACCTTTTCAGACTAGCTTCATTCATTTAGCAACATGCAGTCAGTGATCCTTGATGTCATGAGTTGATAGCTTGTTTCTTTTTGCTTCTTTAGCTAGCTATATACTTCATCAAAATAATGGTAAGCCATGAGTTAACTAGAAAATCTCCAGCTAGATCTAAGGAAAATGTGAATTTGAAAGGATTAAGTTGTTTCCCATTAAAGTGGCTGGGGGCTCGGAAATCAGTCAAGGTTCCGGAAACAATAAAAGCTACATTTTTATAACCTGAGCTTTGTGGCTGTGTAGTTTCTTTCTTTTTATTGCCAAATAATATTCCATTATATGGATGCACCGCAGTGTGTTTATCTATTCATCTATTGAAGGACACCTTGGTTGCTTCCAGTTCTTGATAGTGGTGAATAAAACTGCCATAAACGTTCGTGTGCAGGTTTTTGTGTGGTATGCAACTCATGTGAGGGAAATACCTAGGAGTGCAATTGCTAGACTGTATGGTCGTCTGTTTAGTTTTGTAAAGCCTGGTGTTTTTTTTTTTCTTTTGGTTTTGTTTTCCCCTATTTTGTATATTGTGGTAAAATACATACAATATAAAATTTACTGTCTTAACCATTTTTAAGTGTATGGTTCAGTGCTTATACATACATTCACATTACTGTGTGACCATCACAGCCATCCAGAACTCTTCGTCTTGCAAAACTGGAATTCTGTACCCATTAAACAGTGACTCCTCATTCCCCCTAACTCCCGGTCCCTGGCAACCACCATCCTCCATTGATTTTTTTTTTTGAAGATAAAAATAGTATTACTTTGATACCTTTAATGTGCTTAATATTCTTTCATCAGAAATCTCTTTGCTTTTCACGTCATGGTCTTTCCACAACTGTCGTGTCTATATCGTTCCATCTTTCTTAGACTGTAAACTTCTTGAAGGAAAGGCTAGATTCAGATGTTAGCTTTATTTAAAACAAGTTAGGTGATGGTTTTGATCGCCAGCTGTAGTGAACGTGAAAACTTTAGAAACTTCCTAAAAATGACTCTGAGATGTGCATTTCCCACCCTTTGCCTGAGCAAAATTCTTCTGAACTTACTCCTGTCTTCTCAAAGAGTGTCTAGACCTTGGTGCTTGGATAACCCATCAAGTTATCCAAAATTAAACTCATTGTCTTACTTTCCCTCCAAACAATCAAACAAAAAGAGGATGCTTCTCCTGTTTTAATTAGGTCAGTTAATTCTATCCTCCTCCACCTGATTTCCCGGACTAGAGACCTTTGAGACTGTCTCAACCCCATCTTCTTCCTCACCCACCATAAATCCATCCATTTGACTGCCCAAAGTCCCTAAATCAGTCCTTTTCTGTTACAGCTGCTGTTGTAACAGGCTCTTAGACCACAGCCCTTGGTGCTTTCTGAGTTTCCTTGTATCAGTCTCCACATGTAGTTCGTTTGATTCTCTTATAAGAATTTTCTTTCTAAAACTATCTTTGAAATGTCATGTTGCTTCAAACCTCCAATAGCTTTATATCCCTTCTGGAAATTTCGAAAGACTAAGCATAGTTCAGCATAGTTTAACTTCTCCTCCTGCATCGCTTTTCATGCTTTTTTTCTACTTTCTTCATGTAGAACCGCTTGCTTTTCCCAAATATTTCATGCTCTTCACACCATTTGTTTATATTTTCTGTACTTTTCCTTGGCGCACCTCCCCCACCCTCTGCCTGCCACCCTTGTCCTCACCCTGCATCTCTTCAAAATCTCTAGAAAAATGCCCTTAATGCTGCCCCCCTGGAGACAACTGTCGCCAACGCCTTCCACATACTTTTCTGTTATATGTCTTTACAGATGTGAGTCATCTTGTCCACGGTGCTTCTCTGGGAGCTTTCATCACTTAGCAATATCATCTTATAACCCTCCATGATAAGTTAATGATTGGATAACATCCTTTTTGATTAAAATACCATCTGTGTGTTTTTTCTCAGTCAAATTCCCCAGAGGTACGACTCCTGGCCTAATATTTTTGAGGCCTTTATACATACAAGCATATTTATATATGATTGTTAGAATCATATTTAGAATTTAGGATCATATTCTTAGAATCAGTATTTATGGAATATGTCACATATACACACTCCTCACGGTATAAATGAAACAAATACAAGATCCTACTACACATAGTGGTGTGGAAATTTGACATTTTTAATCAAGAATATATGATGACCATCCTTCAGTGTCAGTACCTACAAAGATGGTAAACCTTATTCATTTTAATGGCAGCATTGTATTCAGTAGGATACATCATAATTTGTTTGTTTGCATCATACCTTATATAATTATATTGCTACTAGTTTTATTAGAATGTATGCATCATTATTTAGCAGTTCTACTGAGGAGTAGGGATGTGGCCTTTAAAATTTTCAGTATTACAGATAGTGTAATAATAGACATAATCCTTATTCAGGGTTGCAGCCCAGTACATAATTTTTCATAATACTCTCTTGTTATTGTGATTGTAAATTAATATTTGTCTGCCTGATTGAAATGGGGGGAGGGATGCAGTCCAATGTCCAGCTCGTACAGTGCAGTGCATCCTTCTGGCGTTTCAGCTCTTCGGTGTCATCTGGTTGCTCCTGCTTCACTCTTAATAAAAACAAAACAGAACAGAACAAAACAAAACAAAACTCTTGCTCGTGTGATACGTTTCTTAGACTATGAAAGTCTTAGAGTCCATCTGTGTGAGTAATCAGGCTGGTGGAAGTGTTCAGTTTGAGGATGAACATTATAGAAAGATTACAGATGAAAGCATTATTTAGTTGTTCAAAGTCTTTTTAAGAAAAAAATAAAGGAGGTACAGAGAAACTATGTAAGTTGAAAATTTACCTTTTATAACCCCCTCCTTTCCAGGTTTTTCAGCCTTCACCTGAAGATCATGAAAAGTATGGCGGAGATCCACAGCACCCTCATAAACTGCACATCGTTACCAGAATCAAAAGCACAAAAAGACGTCCGTATTGGGAGAAGGACACAATAAAGATGCTGGGACTAGAAAAGGTGTGTAACTGTTTTACTTGCCTTCAGTGTCATTTAAGTTTGCTTTACATTTTCTGCATTTAAAACTTTAAGGTATAGATGTAGTATTTCTTTTGCTTCAATGTATTATTTCATGTACTGTATTTGAAAGTCTGATTTAGGCAGAATGGACCTTCCCCTTAACATTTTCCTGAAACACGGGACCCTCTGCCCTTCTGAAATTGATCCATAGCATTGTTTCCTCTGTTTGTAGGCTCACACTCCTCAAGTTCACAAGAACATCCCTTCGGTGAATGCCAAACTGAAAGTGGTGAAGCATTTGATAAGGTTTGTCATTCGTTATTCCAGCTGTTTTTTTTAAAAATGGGTTCCCACGTGTAACTCTAAAAGCATTTTCTTCCGGCACAGAATCCAGCCCCTGAAGCTGCCGCAGGGACTTCCAGCAGAGGAGGACATGTCCCACACGTGCCTCAAGAGTACGGGGGAGCTGGTGTTGCGCTGGCTCCCGGACCCTGCGGGCCAGGGAGCCGTGAAGTCCTGATGCAGCACCGCTTCTGAGGGAAGAGTGCAAGTCGGTTTGCTTTAAAGATGGTGAGAGAGTGTTGTCATTAAAGTGTATCTTAAATTCTCGTCGTTTTCACTGACCAGACAGGGTGTGCCTCCTCCTGGGCAGAGGCTTGGAGGTGTCCGTGCTGCTGGGCGGTTTAACCTTCCTCCCTCCCTCCCTAGTAGTTTCACTGAAAAGTGAGTGAGAGCGGCGCTGTTTGAACGTGGAGGTGCGGATGTCTCCTTAGCAATCTCAGTAACTTTTTGAAAAACTTGTTTTCTTGTTTCGTCAAATTCAACAAATTCTATGAGTGGCCATCCGAGTGAACAGTATGTTATGTGCTGGAGAAATCCAGAGCCGACCAGGACGTGGCTCTTCCCCAAACTGGGAACAGAGAACCGAGACTCAGCCAGAGGCGCTGGACCTGGGTGCAGCTGGGTCCGCCGCCTTGCGCTGTAGTGTCTGCAGGTACACGTGTGGACTCGGCTTTGTTTTCTCCTTAAATCTAACACCGAAAATAGTATCTTTTTTCTAATTACAAATCTAATTTGAGCTAAACCTTATTGCTAGTCTTTGAAATCCTGGAAACCTCTGCCAACAGGTGAGGTTGCTATGTGAAAGAAGAGAGAGAAGGGAAAAATCCTTTAGGGAAAATGGTTTTATTTCCTTTTTTTTGTATTTCGGACACGTGGATGGGCAGGGAGAAGTAAGAATTTGAGGAGAGATTCAATACTGGGAAATTGGGTGGCAACTCCTTAAAGATGGTGCTGAAGACTCTGAATTCTAGATGCCCTTTATTTTCCTTTGTCTCTTGTAAGGTTTGGCGCAGGCGACAGTAGCATTGGCCTGCTCACTGTTTGTGGTCCCACTGTCCATCCTGTCACAGGTCTTGATGTGTTCAGGCACATCAGAAGTGCTCCCTGCAATGAAGCCAGAGATCATTACTTAATAAGCTTCCAGGCAATCACAGTTTCAATTCAACAACGACTGAATATCCAGTAAGTGTGTCCCAGAAGGGGTACAAAGCAGAAGGTCACTAACTTCAGAGGGCACAGTCTCACTGGAGAGAGGCCTGTTTGCACAGCAAAGGCTGTCCTTGCTGGAGCTGGTTTGAGGACAGCTGTGTAAATGAAAGTGACTCCCACTAACTAATGTGTTGCCTTCTTGTTTACTGTGTTAATATTAATGTTTCAAACAAGGAGAAGACCATTGTTTAATTTTTACCCAAGGAGTCTAATAAAGTTTGGGTAAGTAATTTTAACCTCATCTGCCCATGACTAGAGGGAAATATCTAAATGTTAGGGTGGATGTTTAGAAATGACATTGTCCAGAAGTTTTCAGAAAAGTCTGCAAAGAGTCGAGCATAGGCCAGAGCACTCGTTTTCTGTTGCCGCAAAACACAGCACCATAAACTTGGCTGCTGAAAACAACACATGCTAATTATCTCTCTTGTTCTCTGGGTCTGAAGTCTGGGCACAGCTTAGCTTGGTCGTCTGCCTAGCATCTCACAAGGCTGCTAAAGAGGTGTCAGCCCAATTTGGGTTCTCCTCAGAGCCTTGGCGGGGCTGGTAACTGCTTCCAAGCTCTCTCAGGTTGTTGTTGGAATTCATTTCCTTGTGGCTAGAAAATACATAGCAAGTTGCTGCTTCGAAACCAGTGTTGGATTGAGAGACTCTAGCAAAATGGGTACTACCCTTCTAGGTAATCATGGAAATGCAGTCACCTAGATTCCATGACCTTTGTTGCATTCCGTTGGTTGGAGGCAAGTCACAGTTCCAGCCCACACTCAAGGAAGAGAGGGGTTCCACAAACTCCCAGAGGCCTGGATCAGGGGGCCCTGCTTAGAGTCAGCCCTCCAAGCCCGGGCAGCCCATCCTCAAGCTGACCCAGGGGGTTCCCCGGAACGGTATTCCTTTTCCCCCCATTATTTCAAACCTGATAAGAACTTCTTCCATCTTGTCTTTGTCTTGTGAGTTGCTGTATTTAATTTCTGTTTTACAGCTATAGGCATGAGCTCTAATTTATTAAGTATTTATGCACATGCCTAAATTCATAGTCTTTAGACAAAAACACTGGTATAATAAGGCTTTCTTCTAAAATATTACTTCCATTGTTCTAGGTTCACAAATCCCTTGCCACTACCCCTTTTCTTTTTATTATAAATCTGAACGGGCACTGCTTCACTTAAATGGACTTCACATTTGCTTATTTCAGTGTTTCTTTAGATCCAGTAGCTGAGACATGTATATCCGCCTTGTCTAAGAACCACAGCAGCAGCAACAGAAGTATGAGAAGTTCAGTTGACTTAGTTCTGGGGTCCCCGCTAACCTTGACAGTTTCCCCTGCTGTGCTGTATGGACTCTTCCATTGACAGTTAAGCCCCCAGCATCTTCCAGCTCATCACCTAACCTATGAAGTATTGTTGCTTTTCCTTCCTGTATCACTGTCCAATACTGTCACTGTCTAAGCCTGGCCACCTCCATCCCTCACCCGCAAAAGGGACAGCCCATCACTGCTGGCTTCAGGGGACTAGCCATACCCTGCACAGACCTTCTGGAGACTCCTTTGGATAACTCTGATTTAATTGTGTGCGTAGATTGTTCACACTTAGAAAGTAAAATGAAAAATTGCCAAGCAGGCTACGTCATCAGACTCAAATTTACCCCTGAAGTATAAGCTTTTCTCAGAAATTGCATTCATGCAATGCCCTCTCCCAGATCTTGCCAAGTAGCAAAAGTATTTATACTGATAGGATAGGTAGGTGATTTGGAGTTAGTCCATGATGTTGAAATGCTTCGGAAACAAGTGTCCTGACCCTCACAGGAGCCCCTATAGAATGGACAATTAAAGAGCCTTGACATGCTTTGCTGTTATGTAAGGAAGGGGCCATAATAAAAAGTGAAATTTAGCAAATGATCCATACTCAATATTGGTAGAATAATTTTAAAGATACCTCTGCGGATTTTTCCACTGCACACCCTACCTGCCAACAGCACAATCCTGACAAGATTCTGACAAAACGGGACAGGATGCTCGAGGCCCCTTTGAACACCTGATTTCCTCTAAGCTAACGGAGGCAGGGGTTGTTTTCTTGCTGCATTTACACACTCCAGGGCAAGCAGAACTGTGGATGTTAGAGAAACAAAAAAGCCACCTGATCCTCTAAAAGACTCAGCTGGATCCTGGGACATTTTTCATCATTGCCTGGGTTTTATAATCTGGGACCCTGGCTTTAAGTCTTGTCACCAGACGTGCAATCCTTCTGTTTCCGGTAATTGCCTGTGTTACAGTTGGTCAGTGTATCCTGTCCTGCAGCTTAAATGCTGCCCTGCCGCCATTGTCACATCAGATGACTCAACAACATCCTACAATGGGAAGAGGGGACTTAGCCCTAGTCCAGCAATGACGGCCCTCTCGACATCCTCCTGGTTTTGACCAGCAAAATCTTGACAAGTGAAAATCTGCATGTTGTGGATTAATTCCTTGTGGTCTGACTTTGCCTGCCCTTGGCCAAAGAGGGGCATTAGGAAGAGAAGAGCAGCTCACAGCCAGGAGCTGGCCTGGTGCCATCAGGCCTTGGTGTGCTAGGAGCTGGCCTGGCGCTCACAGGTGTCCTCCTGTTGAACATAAGCCATTTCACAGCTCGCCAGCATCAGGTGAAGCTACTCTGACTGATGGTGAGGTACAGTCTCATCCCAACTGAAATTCACCTCCTGGAATGGTGCTTGTTGAAGAAGCATCGTAGAGTAAGTGGAGTTTACCCTCCGTGGTCTGAGCATCTCGGGAAGCCTTTAATTCTCCAGCTTCCAAGCCTCCCCCATCCAGTCTGCCTCCCAGGCCTATCATCCAGGGAGATGATCAGGAATGTCTCAGCCAAAGAGCAAACGTGGACCCTCATGACTCTGGTTAAGACACAGAGCAGCATCTAATGATCTAAAAAAGCATTGGATTCAGGCAGCCAGGAAACTTCCATGAGAGGGGCCCACGGAGTCTGGTTGGGATGACTGGGGAATATTCTTGGGTGTAGCCTAGGAAGAGACCCCAAAAATAACTTCTAAAAGCTACCCAATAAAGGGTTCAGAGACTGCCTCTGAAAATGAGGTAGAAAGTGAATTGGTGAGTCACTCAGAATAGGACACAAGCAAAGACTTACCGAAGGGCTCAAGGGAGAATTGAGGCCAGGAGAACTAGAAAATGCCCAAAGTTGCACATGAGCAAGAAATGGAGGCATACCTCGGGTGTGTGCCATTCACAGCTTGCCACCAACCCTACATTGACCCCTCCTGGGAATTCCCACATCCACAAGGAAACAAGAAACCAGTCACCATGAATGGGTTGGGGTCACCACCTGAATAGCTCTTGGGAGAATCTTCCTGCTGCTGGGGGCCCGTCTAGGATTTAACACCTGGAGCAGTGTGATGGTACAGCCCCAGAGCAATCTCAGGATCCGGGAAATACTACTGGGGGTGCATAACTGAGCCTCAGTTCTCCAAATCACTTTGTACATTCTGAGAATTGACTCGCAGAAGAAGATGGAAGCACTAAAGGAAAAGTTGTCTGAAAAACTTTTGTTTGTTTCAGAAACTATACAACTCAGTCATTTGAATAACTAAGCAATTCAGTAACGCAGCAATTTTATCATTTACTTTAGGATAGAATCTCCTAGCTTCACTGTGAGTGAGCAGAATTACAGTTTGATCACAGTTAGGATTACTGTATTTCAGTATAAAAGGAAAGAGGTGCATTTTCTGATCATGTCCTCTTAATGTCAGAAACCATTTTCCATAAGATACAAAAGCTCTGGCTAACACATCACTGGAGTCATCTTGGTGTGTGGTGACTCTGTGCACATCAAGGCTTTTGATGTTTTTCACACTGGCATCATGTATTGCAATCCCCCCCTGTAAAATGTGGGAAACAAGACCACCTTCAAGGACCAGCCCGACTTTGGGGTATATTTGAGGTATTTCTCTTCAATTTAAATAAATAATTCATTCCTTGGGGCTCCAGCAGTGTAAATCTCAACCACCCATTTGGAGTTCCTGAATCGGGATTTGTTTACTTCGGTGATTCTGTGAGTCTG